TGCTTGCAAGATTGAAAAAAATATCTCCATGGTCCGAGTCTCAGAACCTGAGATTTTGGGGAGAGGTGGGTATGGGAAGTTGATATTGAAAAATGCTCTTCAGTTATTATGGAGGGAAGAAAAGAAGGAAATATGTATCTTTTCCCCTTCCAAAGGAGCCTTTGATTTTATAGGCAAAGAAGCATAGTGGGAAGTTATTAGCCGAAACTAAGCCCACATTTTGTAAAAAAATTCTCTAAAATATGCACCAAGAGAACTAAAATACCACCATAGATTTCCACTGGGCCATGAGAAGCAATCTGGTCTAATAACTAATATAAGATCTAAACATCTCTTAGGTCTATATCTTTGAGGCCAAGAACACAATGTTTTTCTGTGATATTAATTTCGTGTGTATTTTAAAGTTTTATGATGTGTTCATAACTACCTTTGAATAGTGGTTTAGTTAGTGGTGGGTCGGTGACCTGCTTTGTTGCCTGTTTCTGATGAACAGTTGTCGCACCAGCCACAGCTGTGTCCTGTCCTTGTACACACTGCGTGCAAGACTCTGCTGTGCGTAGTCAGCCCTGCATCATTTCTAACCAGTTACACTGGCCTTACTTTCATCATCTTTGAGGCCAGAGCTACACATGTTGATGCTGCAGAGTGGAAGGAAGGAGAGCAGAGAGTAAAGGGGGTAGATTATGTAGATTATACAGACGTGAGGGAGGGAAGGTCAGAGATACGGAACAACCAGTGAGTTCCCCTGTGCGGACTGCCAGAACGTGAAATATCTGAGAAGAAAACAAAATTGTCTTACAAGGTAGTGGACGTCTGGGTAAGCTGTGATGCTTGCAGGATCAGTACTTACAGAAAGCAGGTGAGGAGCCCACAGGAACAATGAAAAGGAGAAGCAGGAAATTAGGGTTGGTTATTTGAATCTTCCTTCTCGCTGGCTTTCTAATGTCAGACCCCAGAAAGGAGGAGTGGAAGGGAAATGGCAGGAGGATGCAGTCCTGAGCTGGCGCCCTCTCGCATTCACAGTTGTGCCTAGTAAACAGCTCTCTGAACTTTGGTACATTTGTTCTGACTGATGTCACTATCAGCTGATTTCACTTTCGTTTCTTAACTTGTCAGTGACCCATGACTTTTCAGAAATGAGGTATGTAAACAACTTTTTACTGTGCTTCATGACATACTCTTTACTCACACTGTAGCTGGCAAACCAACTGATTTAAAGAGCCAGGAAACGTCTTGATTATATCACACAGTAATTCCAGAAAGGGAAGTAGCCGAAGAACTCTCGAAGCTCCCAGTGATTTAAACTGCAAGATAAACACAACCCGGATTTTTATTCAGAAGAAACCCCTCAGGATCATCTGGTCCAAGCTCTCAGCCAATGTGGCAGTCAGGACCCAGGTCACCTCCTACTTTTTCTGGGAAGCCGCTATGCCATCTGTCCCCCACATCCCCTTTCAGAGATCAGTTTTGTATGATGAGATCTGGGCTTTCTCTGGGACACAAAATTTTGTGTCCGGAGCGGTTCCTTACTTAGCGGTATTTAGGCCCATGTTGAGCAGCTAGAACATCTATTTTATTCTCAAGAATAAGAGCAGGAAACAAAGCTTTTATTTTTTGTAAGCAATTGGGGCCCTGGCCAGAGTTTAAAAAATTGCTTTCCGTTGCTCCACATGACCAACTGGAAATTTCAAACTGTGGGTTAAACTTGGTTACATGAGGTCAGCTACCTAGGTGCTATTGCCCTGAATCCGTTTGCGAGCCGTTCTCTTCTGCTTCCCTGCCCTTCCTCCAAAGGAGGAGTTCTTTGAACTGCTACATTGCCCTCCCCCTGCCCCTAGTTCTTTTAAACTCAAACTCTAGAAAGAGGTGATGGGATCCAGGTGGAAAGAAGAACAGAGGCTTTGAGATCAGAGTTTTCTGCTACATACTAGCAAATTATTTAATCTCTTTGAGCATCAACTTCTTATCTGTAAAATGGAAACAGTACCTACTTTGCATGGTTGCTCTGGGGACTGGAAATAATATAAGTGCTTAGTACAATACTGGGAACATAGTAGTGGTAGCTATTATTATGAAAAATGGAATTTCTGTATATTTAGTCTAGCCTTTAAGACAGAGAAAATTAACTTTTAGATACCAATATAGTTACTCTGAAAACTCAATACTGATGAGTGAAGTAATATAGAAGAGATAGAAACATATTTATATTTGTGAAATTTATTTAAGGTTACCATGTACCTAGTTTTCAAAGAGTCAAATAGTTTTTTCAAAACTTGTATGAAAATTGGCAGTCCCACACTCTCCCTTTCTTCTTCTTCAGAGGCAAGCACTTTCACCTGTGCTCATTCTTTAGGCATTGACCTCAGTTCTCTAAATAACATGCTTGGATTGATACTTCTTGATTTTTCAGTTTCAGGCATACTCTACTGACTCCCAACCATAGAAAGTGAAGATTTAGCTTTCTTCTTCCCAACTGCGTGTTCCAGAAATATGCTTCCTCTCTTCCTCCTCTATCCAAATTGGTTATAGTTTTGTTTAAATCAATATTCAGTGTTTACAATATTGTAATATGCATAGGTATACTTTATTTTATTGTGCATCTCTTTGTGGATCCTGCATCTTTTACAAATTGAGGATTTGTTGTATCCCTGCATCGAGCAAGACTATTGGCACCATTTTTTCAATAGCCTTTGCTCACTTCATGTCCCTGTGTCACATTTTGGTAACTTTTGCAACATTTCAAACTTTTTCATTATTATTATATTGGTTATGGTGATCTTTGATGTTACTATTGTGATTGTTTTGGGGTGTCATGAACCGCACCCATATGACGGTGAACTTAATTGATAATTGTTTGTGTGTTCTGACTGCTCCACCAACCGGACATTCCTCCATGTCCCTCTCACGTTAGGTCTCCCTATTCCCGAGACACAAAAATACTGAAATTAGGCCACTTAATGTCCTTACAATGGCCTGTAAGTGTTTAAGTGAAAGGAAGCGTCACATGTCTTTCATTTAAAATTGAAAGCTAGAAATGATTAAGCTCAGTGAGGAAGGCCTTGTGAGAGCAAAGATAAGCCGAATGTTAGGTCTTACGTTGTGAAGGCAAAGGCTCAGATGATCGTTAGCATTATTCAGCAACAAAGTATTTCTAAATTAAGGTATGCCCATTAGGTTTTTTTAGACATAACAGTATCACACACTAAATAGGCTACCTTATAGTATAAACATGACTTATATACACTGGGAAACAAAAAATTCGTATGATTTGCTTTACTGTAATACTTGCTTTATTGCAGTGGTCTGGAACAGAACCTGCAATATATCTCCGAGGTGTGCCTGTAAATACCATTTACAGCAGCTGAACCATGTAGAAAAATTCAGATTACTTTTCCTATCCTGCATAACTTTTGATCTTCTCTGAAGATAATTGCCTTTTTAAAAAAGTTTGTTTGTTTGCTTGGTTTTCTATTACTTAACACTAATTCAAACCTCAAATGTTTATCAAATCTTCTATGAATAAATGTCTATGCATCAAGTATTCTGTATCTTCCTGAGAAAGGCTTTTCAGGCCCTTCCAACCTGCCCCAATCTGGGGCTTGACACCACACACAGCTGTTGTCCTGGATTCTCACATCAACACCATGCTGGGGATTCCCTTTACTTCTGTCCTAGGTTGGATCTCCTGCTTCCTGCATCAAAGACATTTCTCTTTCTCCATTTATTCAGTTCTGGGAGAGTAAATCTCCCAGATTCCTGAGAAATGGGTACACTGAAAAGAATTTTTTGAGAACTTACAAAACTGAAAATACCTTCATTCTAACTTTATCTATTCAAATGTGATCAAATTTAGACTGAAAATAAAATTTTAGGTTAAAAATAATTTTCCTTTATAATTTTGGAGGTTTCGTCCCATTATGTCTAGCTTTCTTGTTTTGTTGAGAAGTCTAAATTTGTTATGCTTCCTAGCTTCCAAAATGGTCTCCTCTCTTGTCATCCTTTCAGCTTTATGCCTTAAAAAATAAATTATTTTGGTGGTTTTAGGAGGGAGCAAAATTGAATGTGTATCCAGTTTGCCATTTTTAACTGGAGATCTAAAATATTTCTCTGTTCTTCTTCTTCTTCTTCTTTTTTTTTTTTACTCTTTTGAGACAGGGTCTCTCTGTCACCTAGGCTGGAGTGCAGTGGTATGATCACAGCTCACTGAAGCCTTGACGTCTTGTGCTCAGGTGATCTTCCCACCTCAGCCTCCTGAGTAGCTGGGACTACAGGTGGGTGCCACTATGCCTGGCTAATTTTTGTATTATCATTATTAATTTTTTTTTGTAGAGATGGGGTTTTGCCATGTTGCCCAGGTTGGTCTAACACTCTTGGGCTCAAGGGATTCACCTGCCTTGGCCTCTCAGAGTGCTGGGATTACAGGCATGAGCCACTGCGTCTGGCCTCTTTCTTATTCTTTATCTTCCCTTTTTCTTTTCTTTGTTTTTACTCCAAGAGGGTTATTTCTTACTGTATCTTTCAGTGGTTCTCTGGCAACATAGCTGGCCTATGGTTGAGCTTGATGCTTTTATCAAGCTACTCATTTCCTGTTAATTGCTTACCATCAAAATCTCCATTGTTTTTGGCAGCACTCTTAACCTTGAACTTCCCCACACTCTGTTCCAAACAAGTCAGTTTACTTGAGGACAGCTTCAGAGCTCTCTGTTCTTAAGGCATGCCTCTCCCCTGGGCAACATATTTGAGCCACTGCTCTGGACCCAGGGTTGGTGACAGTGGCTTGCTTCTTCTAGAGTGACCCATCTACTTTTTGAGCATGGTGCTGAGTGCGGTAGTAGCCTCCGGTCTTTTCAACTTCAACTTGACTCTCCTGGCATGGAACGTCCACCCTATGAAGTAGCTGGAGGAAAGGTGACCAGGAATCCAGTATTTCCAGCGCACTGCACCTTTGCCTTATGGTTGAGTGGAGGAAGAGAGTCCCTGACCTCTTGGCCTCATTAGCCTTAAATGTTGTCTCTGCTGCACAGAGGCAGGGAGATGAGAAACGCTGGCAGCCTTCTCCTCCTAGAGGAGATACCATAGCCCTTGACTGGGAGCTGGAGGGACTGTGATCCCAGTGTTCTTTGGCCATTATCTGCCCACAGTTGGAGGTTTCCCTTCTGCTGAACATCGGGGAAGGGAAGGAGTGGTCACAGCTAAGTACCACAGACCTCCTCACTTTTCTTAAACAGGAATTTTATGTAAATTTCTGACATACAATATATTCGTTTATTTGATGTACTGCCTTCGGACAATTTTCAATGAGCAACTTTAATGGTGTTTTCTAAAAAATATTTCTTACCAGGTTCCCCTCCCTGCCCCTCGCTGGGGAAGTGGGTGAGAAAGGCTCCTCAGGGTGCTGTTTTAGAGCCTGAATCTCTGCCCAGTTTTTAAAAAAAATTCTATATTAACATTCATTTCTTAGAGGCGGTTTTAGGTTCACAGGAAAATTGAGAGGAAGGTGACAGAGATATCTCATGTAATTCCTACACATATCCAAGGCAGTCTAGTTCTTTTTCCTATGTTATCTTCTAGATTTATAGTATTGCATTTTACATTTAGGTCTGTGATCCATTTGGAGTTAATTTTTGTGAAGGCATTAAGGTCTCTGTCTGGATTTGTTTGTTTGTTTGTCTGTTTGTTTTTGCAGTATGTGGATGTTCAGTTGTTGCAGCACCATTTGTTGAAAGGACTATCTTTGTTCCCTTGTATTGCCTTTGCTCCTTTGTTAAAGATGAGTTGACTATATTTATGTGGATCTTTTTCTTGTCTCTCTTTTCTGTTCACTGATCTGTTATTTTGCCAATAACATACTGTATTGCTTATTGTAACTCTATAGTAAGTCCGTTTTTAGAATTTTCTTTTTATTTATTTTTGTAGAAACAGGGGTGTTTTTTTTTTTTTTTTTTTTTTTAGAAACGGACTCTTGCTCTGTCACCCAGGCTGGAGTGCAGTGGCATGATCTCGGCTCACTGCAAGCTCTGCCTCCCAGGTTCACGCCATTCTCCTGCCTCAGCCTCCTGAGTAACTGGGACACAGAAGACTGCCACCATGTCTGGCTAA